AGGGATCAGTTTCTCACTCAATCGTAATAGATAATAGGTTACCTTCTTTACGTCCAGTAAAATGTTTTATTAATTCTTGTTAAGCCATACTGCCAAAAAATGACGGCACATTTTGTTAATTCCTGGTTGTTATTAGGTTATTAAGTTTTTAAATATTGTTTATCAATCATTGGAGGGTTTTCATACCTAAAATTTATTTATACTAATTATTATACTGTATTATGAGGGATCAGTTCCTAAATGAATAACAGTAGAAAAGAGCAACCCCACTTTATGTCCAGCAGAATTTTATATTAATACTTGTATAGCCATATTATAAAAATGGCGGAATATTATGTTAAATTCTTATTGTTATTGAATTTTTACATATAAGTTTTTATGCATTTTGTTTACAAATTTGATTGGTTCGTTCATTTTTTTATGGCTTTTCAACCTATTACAGGGTGTTTAAAACCAGGATTATTTAGATTCTAAAAATTTTCTTTTGAGATAATAATAATTTAGTGATACAAGTTCTTCTAATTAACCCATAGTTGAGGGGAGAAGAGGTGGATTCCTACTTTTCCCAGGGGTATTTGCGAGTAGGTAAATATAACAAACTGAACTGGAATTGGAAGTCGGAGCGCCGATTAACATTTCCAAGTGATTATCTATTACACCACCCGCCCATCCAAGCTTACAGTGCGTGGTAAAATGAACAGGCTAAAAGGGGCTATTCAGCTGAAAATACCTAACCGGCAATACAACGTGATTATTCAACATGGCAATGCTGACCTCCACATCACTAACACGTCCAAAGATGCAATTAAAGAGCTCAGTTGGGAAATACAACAACACCCACCATATTCTTCTGATTTAACCTCTTCAAACTAACACATTTTTCAGTCGCTTTCTAACATTTGAGGGGTGTTTCGTTCAACAACGATGTGGAGCTTAAAATGTGACGATGCATTTTTCCAGTGATTTCTATCGTCGAGGCATTGAACAGTTAGTGGATCGTTGGCAGGAGGTCGTAAACAATGAAGGGAATACATTGTTGAATAATTCATCAGAGCTATTAATAAATAATAAATATTAAAAGAAATTATAAAAAACGAACAAATTTATGTAGCAACCGGATACATTAAAATTAACGCAAATACAGCGAAAAGATGTCTAAATAAACAAACCCTAGAGCGACCGAAAACCCGTGAACTTTTGATAAAACTCATTAGTCCTGTCATGCCAATTTCGTCGGCCTTATGGAATTGGGTCGTTATTGAATTGGGCTGTTATGAAATTGGGTGTCAGTTATACTGATTCTACTTAGTTTAATTTTTGTTTAAATTCTTCCGGTGTCCACCTTATAAGTATTTTCTGGCTTTAGTTTGATGTTTTTAAAACCAGACTTTTTTTTCCATCGAACCCAGTTCGATTAATCCCTCTACCATATTTTTCTCCTTCTAATTTCTCTATTCTTTCACTCAGAAATATCAAGTCTCTGAATACTCCAAGTCATTAACCACTTTCCATGCACTAATATAACTCAACCAGGGCCATTCTCCTGTTACACTAATGTATTGCCAAACATCCTGAAATGTTCGTATTGGAGCTTCCGGCGCGAATGCCAAGCTGTACATCATGCCGTTTCCAAATTTCTAGTGGAGTGAATTGCATCATGGTGCTCCTTTTCTCACAGACAGTACCCAACTGACCATTCTATACTATGCAGTCGTCAAAATCAAAAAACAAACAGCGATCATGTCTGAAATAAAGAATATAAAATGTGGACAATTTACCCATATATATATATATATATATATATATATATATATATATATATATATTATATATATATATATATATATATGTGTGCATGTATATATATATATATATATATATATGTATAATTATTATTTATAAAAAAATTATAACATATGTTATAAAATCACTACAAAAATAGCCATTTTATTTCAACACACTCTATGTCTTATCAAGTGATGATGTTGAAGATAAAATAAATGGTTTTAAAAGTTTCAGATTAATTAACGATCCTACACTAGGGGGAAACATTGTTACAAAAGCTAGAATAACCAATCAAAAACGAAGTATAGAAAGATTCAAAAGCTTGACAACGAAATCATGTTATAATAGCTATTCAGATCTTTAAAATACGTGTAATATTAAAAATAATTTATACTAACCAATAATTATAAAATTATATGATAAAATTTAATATTAAAATTAAAAACTGGCAATTTTAAAATCCAAATTTAATCACTATTAAGTTTAAAAACTACAAAATTATTGAGAAAAGAAAAAATATATGCTTATTCAATTTATTTGTTCATTGAAATTACGTTCGACAAGACGCTACAATATATCCGGTCATTTGACAATACATGTATATATATTTTTTATTCTAAAGTGTGTGAATGTGGTCTTAAACTCACGCGCAAAACAACAAAAACACAATCAGATTATAATACATAAGCACCCAGACATATTTAGATATATACACACACACACACACACACACACACACACACACACACACACAAAGGCGACGAGACAGGAACATCACTACAACCCTTTATGAAAAAAAAGGAAACGGAGAAACCACCACCTATACACACACACAGTTAAATGTGAATACACTCTACATACACATAGACACCGATAGATACACATACATACATCCACAGACAATAACATAGACAATCAGATACCACAACCAATAAATATTTCAGACTTAAAATATCATTAAATAAATGCTAACCACTTATTAAATTATAACTTAAGGGAGCAAATATACAAAGATAAAAATGGTTAAAAATAATATTATTTAATATATTAAAACGAAAATTCCAAAACCATAAATATCAATAAAAATATATATTTTCATATAAGTTGATAATAGTTTCATTGTAAATTAGGCAAAGAAAAACAGGATAAAGAAACCCACAGATACATATATATACACGCGGCAGCAAACATAAATTAACACACATAAACATACACTCATACATACATATACATACAGAAATACATACAAATAAATATATAAACATAAACATATATACATATCTATGATAACAAGTACACATGCACACACATATACATATAAACATAAATACACACATATATACACACATTTTTATGCGCACATACTCACATATATAAAAACAGTAATGACATACCAAAGTTTCCATACCCACACATACACACAAACAAATTCATACATCATAGGTGCCAACACACATATATACATCCACAAACATACATATATATATATACACACATACATACATATCTACAAATAAACATATATATAAATATATCTATCTACAGTAACAACTACCAATATATACATGCATACATAAAAATACAGCAACACTCAACCATATATCACTTTAAAAAAATATCACTTTAAACGTTATTTTTAGTGGACACTCGTATTAGAGTAGACGCTCCGTTTATTTATTAAACAGTATATTTATTTATTTTTGTCTACTGGTCTGAATGTTCGAGAAATCATATTAAAGAAAAATTTACACTCTTCGACAAAATACCTGCGTTCCTCCAGGCAGAGGAAGCTACCGTTTAGTCCGGCACGCATTAACCGGCCGACTTGTACACGGAGAACAGTCGGTCAGGCGAGGACAAATTTAGTGCCTTCAGGCGAAACCTCCCCCCTCGAATATATATATATATATATATATATATATATATAGATAGATAGATAGATACACCTAGTGAGCCAGACAAACCTAGATAGGTTTGTCTGGCTCACTAGGTGTATCTAGGTCTGCTCTACGGTTGTATTGAGCGCTTCTGTTAGTTAGTTGTTTACTGTATCGGGTTTTTTTTTTTGGGCTTCAGACCTGTATCTGTGCGATTTTTTTTTTGTCGGCAGAAGTTCATGTTTGTAGCTCTTTCTTTTTTTAAAACCTTTTTTCCTCGAGATTGATTTGATTAGCAAATCAAAAATTCGAGGGTTTTTCGAAACGAGTCTAGTTATATATATATATATATATATATATATATATATATATATACAAATTTTATATCAACCATAATTTGGGGGGAAAAAACTATGACAAATTGTAAAAAGTTTTCATGAGACGCGCTTCGTCCTTTAGTAAGGTTTAAAGTGATGTTTCCATTTGTATGACTGCTTCGTACGCAAGTGTAGTCACCAATCTCCAATTCCAGGCAGTTATCCATTACACCACCCGTACATCCCAGTTTACTGCATGTGATATTCACAATCGGCCACCCATTCAGATACTGACCAGATTCAACCTTGCGTAACTGCGGTGATCGAACAAGGACCACTGTTTCAACGTTATATGGCCGATGGCGTTCTTAAACGAGTGTTCCCTTTGAGAAAAAAATAAGTGTTTAAGTCAACTTTTCACGATCAACTTTATATCACAGATTTAGTTATTTATATATATCTTTTATATATATATATATATATATATATATATATACACACACACACACACAAACAGTACATGTAAATGAACACCTGAGCGAGAATTCTTTCTTTACAATGAAAACATCGTCGCAAAGCTATTGAAATACTTGATCACGATTTTTAAAAACGAAATAGAAAGAAAGAGAAACACCCATTATTAGGAAATCGAGATCGTAAAGAAAGACGTATTATTATTTTAATCACTTGCAAAGTTAAAGAAATGAACGTAAAACAAAACTAGAAATTGATGCTGTATTTTTTACAGATTTGGTTCGTTGTTTTTGTTTAGCGACATATCAACTTCTTATGGGTTATTTAATGCCGAAATCTAAATATATTGTCCGCATTTTTCTTTTTCTGATAATAATGATTTAGTGATACAAGTCTACTAATTAAACATGGCTATGGTTGGAAAAAAGGTGAATTCATACTTTTCCCAAGTGAATATAACAAACCCGACTGGAATTGGGACTCAACTCTCCAATTAACAATTTCAAGTCTTTTTCTATTACAACATCCGCATGTTCAAGCTTATAGCCCCAAGCTGTCACCCATCTACGTACTGACCAGGCTCGACGATGCTTAACTTCGGTGCTCGTATGGGATACTGACCTGGAACTGGTGTTTCATCGTGATATGGCCCAAGACATTTTTTAGATTTAAAAACGAGACAAGGATATAAAAAAAAACTATTAATATTTGATACACTCTTTAATATTAAGTGTGTTATTATTTTGCATCTTCAGACTTATTCTTCTTCTATGTGCAATGTCCCTTCAGGAAGTCCGTGATCATGTCTCTCCACAACTTCCTACCATTTTTAGCTCTAAGTAATGGTTGTCCTTTTAATATCCCTTCCATTCTCTGTTCTGCCATTCATTTAGACAATCGCGTTAGGGAGAAACAAATAACATATAATAAAAATGATAACATATGATAAAAATTATTTATAAGCAATAAATCATTTTTAGCGCATGTTACCTACCATTGCCCGAAGAGGAACCATTAGAGTTCCGAAACATGAAAGTTTTTGTGTAGCGATGTAAAATGTTTTTTTGTGGCGATGTAAAATGTTTTTATTGTAATCTATTATAATAAAAGTATTATAATAATATTTTACTCTACTTTCTATTGAGCACCTTTTTAAAAAGTAAATGCTAAGAACTGTGGGTTCTTACTCCATCTATTCTTATTTATTATATATATATATATATATATATATATATATATATATATGCACATACACAAATGCAATAAGAACAAATCAAATATAAATTCAAACATTCATAACATTAATTTAAAAGAGGGCTCAATACAAAAGTAGAACTATAATTTTTTATTATATATTATTATTTATACATTCAAACATGTATATTTCTGCTACAAAAATACAATGTTTTGATGCAACATAGCATCTCATCAGGCAGTGTTAAAATATCATTTAACACTGCCTGATGATATATATATATATATATATATATATATATATATATATATATATATGTATGTATGTATGTGTATGTGTATGTGTGTTTGTGTGTATGTACTGCAAAAGTTTCCTTAAAGAATTAGTCTACATGATGAAAAAATTCCAAAAACTTAATAAAAACAAAGCTTTATCGTCAAAATCTTTGTTATTATTAAGAGGAAAGACCAAAGGATTTTTTGATTATTAAATTACATTTTAATTCATTTTAGAACGTTCGAAATTTTTGTTAAAAATTTCTTTTTAATTAAATGAAAAAATAATTCTCATCCTTATATCTTAGCCCTAAAAATGACAGTTAAAGTAATTGACATTTTAGAGGTATCATTTCAGGCAACTGTCCGAAACTAGGACAAGAAATGGCCGAAAAAGGAGTCAGACGATTTTCACTCTCATCCGTTTACAAATGCATAGATAGATAGATAGATAGATAGATAGATAGATAGATAGATAGATTTTTTTTAATCACTTTACCCCAAGCAAGTGGCAATAACACGCAAGAGACTACTGGGAGTGAAAAAGAATAAAAAGACTTTAAAAGGAACCGGAAAACCAATCCTAAACAAGAAACAAGGGAAAATCTCTACAAAAGACTGGGGAGGAGTGTGAACCGGACGATAGACTTACATATCTACTCCTATTAAATGTATCCAGTTTTATACACTCGTTTCTCGATGACCTCATGGTGAAATATATATATCGTATATTTCCGCACATAAGACGGCATTTAGATAAGATGATGTCAAAAATATAGCAAATTTTCATGACATTATTCTATACCTGTAGTATAAGACGACTGCTTATTGATTATATAAAGATGATGTTATTGGAAATTTTGTTACTTACTATATCCTTAGAAATTCAAAATAAACAAAATAATAAAACCGATTCTATATCATGTTTTTCCTACACACGTCCCCAAAACGGGAAGCCATTGTTTCGTTTACGTTTCATCACGTGATATCTTACGAATAGTAATAATTCTTCTTCCTATTCTTTTCCTATATCTAAACAGTTGCAAACAGCCTGGTTTACTAATGACCATTTACTTATACTTCATCGACAATCACAAAATCCCGATAATAATAGTACAATAATGTACGATAATAGTACATTCCATTGCTTCGAACGCAATCATACCTCGATGTTTACATTTTCTCAGCTAAGTTTGCACGAATCCAAGTTGATTTTATTGATATGGAATTATTGTTCGAATAGGCAATTTATTATGAAGTTATGCCAGTAATGTATAAAGTAGAAATGGTTTTATTTCGTTTATTATCAGTTTATTTGATAATGTGGATCTTTTCATGAACATTATTGCTTATCGCACTGAGGGCGAGGTTAGACTAGCGACAAACTTCACTCAGAATTTAAGGTTTCTTTTTTAAAATTGTATTATTAGATGACCCCCACCCAACTTTTAAAGGTGATATTTGGGATTAAATGGTTGTCTTATATGCGGAAATATACACTAAATGATTGAATTATGTTTACAAATGAAATTAATGTTTTAAAAAACAATATGCAAGCATAGATGAATTATCAGTTGTATATTATATTTTTCCTGAATATTCTTTGTCGAATTATAGGTGCGGGTTATACACTTGGTACTTATTTACACAAATATATGAAGAGCCGAGTTCGAATTCCAGTCGAATCCATTACATTCACTTACGTGCTAATACCCTTGGGAAAAGTATCCTCTTCTTGTCACCCCACCCCATTCATAGATAACAGGACAGACCGGGTTCTATAGCCTTGGATGGCAGCTGGTCTACCGCAGAAAGAAATGGCAACCTGCTACGGGAAAAAATATCTGCCTCGTCAATCATGTATCGAAAGATACGTGATCGCCTAAGCATGTATCACGCATGGCACATAACTGATATGTTTCTTATGGTTATAAACTGTATTTAGTGTGTGTTTGAGTAGATATCCTCGTTATTTAAAATAGTTAAATTAAAGTCAACCGGCCTAGAGATCGAGAAGTCTTACTAAAGTGAAGTCCTACGAAAATGTGCCTCCCGAAAGAAATTGAACTTCTCTTTTCCCATCACGTTAACCACTTTTATCCCAAATAGAGTTTCTATTCCCACTGGGAGATGCATTTTCTTTAGCAACACTACTCTCTCCTTAGGCTGGTTGACATTAACTTCACTGTTTAAAATAACAGCTATGTCTATCCAAACACGTGTCTACTTAATATAACGTTTATCTTAATAAAAAAATAATGTCGGATTATGAATAGAAATTCATTGTTTAATTTCCTCTTGTTATTTACGTGGCAAGGGTCCCGACGAGCTCCATTCCTTGGTTCTACGAGTCCTGGCCTTTACCGCTGGGACCCGTCATGCGGCACACACGAGGATGCGTTTATATTTTAGTGTGTGTGTGTGCGCGCGCGCACGCGCATGTATGAGTGCGTATGCGTGTATTGATATTTAGCTGTAATGATATATGAAATAATTATGAATTTGAAGTATACGAATTAATGACAATGTACTGTGGTTAAGCTTTTTATTTAATTTGTCTATAATTTAATTTTTAGTATGTATGTATATGGGATAAAATGATATATAAATTTTTACTGACCAGAACAATGTTGTGAAAAGTAAATATGCGTACAGGTTTCTACATGTCACCTTGGCAGATCTTCTATTATCACAATATGGGATACTTAATAACAAATGTGATAAAAATATAAAGAAAAAGAAAAGTAGCTTAATAAAATACCTATAGACTATATACCCAAACACATAATAAAAAAAATTAAATTTAAAAGATTAAAATTCCAGCGTTCCTTTTTCCTTCGTACAACAACGTAAAAAACAGTTTTGATGAAATTTTACTTTTTACACTTTGTCCTTGATTTTTCTAATACACGCGCACACAGACACACACACACACACACACACACACACACACACACACACACACACACACACACATATATATATATATATATATATATATATATATATATATATATATATAAGAAATAAGGAAAAATTAGGTTTCGGTTCATTGTAAAACTTTTTTCATTGTTTCACTTCCAGTAGCCCCTTGCAATTTAGTGGCATTATTGCCTTTCTTGGGCTGAACTGACTAAAGAGTTAATCTATCTATGTATCTATCTATCTATCTATCTATCTATCTATCTATCTATCTTCATATGCGTCTGTAATCGGATGCGAGTAAAAATGATTTGGTGCGAGTTAAATCGGCTGATTTCTTTTTCGATCATTTTTTTAACGCGACAATCTGAAACCTCTTGTCATACTTTCGAACTGTTGTCTAAAATCGTACCTTCAAAATGTCAAGTACTGTCATTTTCAGGGCTGAAATATAAGGGTGGAAATTATTTCTTCATATTGAAAAGGGCTAATTTACAAACTTGTCTGAAATTATGAAAATAAAATTGCAATCGTTTACGAATTTAATTACATGAATTAATATAAAAACACACACGTTAGAAATCCGATGAGTGATTTCATGCACTTTCATATATATGTGGGGGGGGGTCGTGTTCACAGATTATTAGCTGTCTAAGAAATAGGGGTACGTTTATGTATTTTGTAGGAACTTTTTTTCTGATTTCCCCGAGTTTATTAAACCACCCTAATTATTAATTTCGCACTTTGACCCTTAAATAATTTTTCAACATTTTTATTGAGATGCACTCTTTTATTGCATATTGAGAAAAATTCCGACCCCTAATTATTAAGATCACATCATTTTAGTATGCACCTAAGAATATATATATATATATATATATACATAGAGAGAGAGAGAGAGAGAGAGAAAGAGAGAGAGAGAGGGAGAGAAATTTAAAACACCGACCTTTATCCTACCATGGTGTCTACCAGAGCGCTATCATAAAGTAGTATATCTTACTATGTGATAATAATTTTATTTAATATTTATATATATTTTCGGAGACTGAGGAATCTATTAAAGAGTGTCATTTGCGTACTTCCTTAAAATAAATGCCGGAAAAAACTTCTGTTGTGGCTACAAGAAATTATTTTTCCGCTCGATTTTTAGTTGGTAGGTAATATTACGCTATTACTTATTACAATATTTAATAGTTAAAATTTGAAAAGTCTACTACAACTCTATACTTCTAAAGTCTCTTTTTTAAAAAAAACGAAAA